TTATTTGAATTAAATGGCAATTGATAATAAATATAAAGTAAATACTTACGATGTATCTAATCCACGTTTACTTCCTTTTTTAGCATCATCCAAGAACTGATTAAAACCAAATGGATCTGCTTCTTCTTTTTCAAATTCTACAGGTCCATCTCTTGACTGGAATTTAAATCAATAATCTTATTTATTATATTAAATATTTAAACATTAAAATGAATGCTGAATAAAATTTTGCCAACCTGTGCAATATCTGCTCCTTGAAATCCTTTTGTAATTCCGAACCGATCTACACTTAGCATCTTATTAATGTTATCAGCATTACCACCTCCATATAGGTCTGAATCGTACTCCTTTTTGGGTTTATATATACTTGAAGAACTTGTACCAGCGAACAATGGTTTATCATAGAGATCGTAAGCTATTTGAAACAAACACATTTATTGTCGATATTAATTAAAAAAATCAAATAATGATACAAATTGAAAATGTATTACCTTCATCATCTTTGAAACCAGAATCAAGACCTTCAGATTGATTGAATAATCGAGCGTCGAACATACTTTCTTTACTCAATGTTGGTTTGGCCAATCCCAAAGCAATTTTTTCTGAAATATCTCTGTTCTGCTCACTACAAAATTTTTTACGATAATAAAGATTAAACAACAGGTTTAATTATAATAATAATGAATTAACAATATCAAACTTTAAAGTTACCGAGCAAGATATTTAGCTCTCTGTTCAGCGCCCATTCTGGAAAGCCTATATTCTCTCTCACGTTCTCTCCGTCGATCTTGTCTCAATTCTTCTCTCTCTCGTACTTTCTCTTCTTCGGATTCAGACTCTGAATCGGACTCTGCGGTAGCAGCAGTTCCGGATACGCCTCCAGATGTTGAAGAGATACCGGCTCTAATATTATCAGCGATGTGGATCTTAATATTTTGTTTTTATATATATATATATATATATATAAATTTAAAAGATTTCATACCTTTCCTCTCGTGCCCTCTGCGCTAACATGCGTAGACGCTTTTCTTTTTCTTCTTTTTCCTTTTGAGCAAGTTTTTCTCTCATCAAAGCACGTTGTCGCACTTCTTCACGAGCATGTCGATCTGCTGCATAAAGAGCTTCAGACAATTTTGCAAAGTTATCATTGATGGTAACTTCTTGTAAGCCTCGTCCATCTGCCGCTAAACGTTTGTCAAGTGGAATAGTATATCCTTTTGCATTTTTCCAATTAGATATACAAGGTGGTATGATCCATTCCTGTTGTTCTTTGGCAGTAATTTTGCGAGGGGGGGAATGTAATACTGGTGCCGGTGGTGATGGTGGACCTATATAGCAAATAACAGTATGTTAGTCTAAGTTATTAACATGCAGAAATTAAAAAAGCACTTAAAAATTACCTCGGGGGATCTTTTTATGTTTGAATTTCGGGGGTTCCATTGGGTCCACTGGCATTTCTACCATTCTAATAATTCTCTGATTAGCACCTGAATTGTAAGCTTCACCTTGCTGTCCAGGAGTATATCGGATATATGTTGGTTCTAGAGGTTTATTGACTTTCACATTTTTAGGTTGCGTAGCTTTTATTTTACCTAACATTATCCAAATGTTATCAATTAGAATTGATTTCTTAATCAAACGTTTTGATTTCATATAATTAATTAATTACCCTGTACAATCTTTTCTAAAGCTTCTCTTGTTTTTTCTGTTGTCTCTTTTACTTCATCCTCGCTAGGTCTTTCTAAAGTAACCTTTTCAATATCAGCTCTTTGATTGACAGGTACAAGGTCTTTAAATTGTGAATGAATAATACGAGATTCGGAATGACCCTGCCTCGCAATAGCATCATATTGAATGTTTCCTTCAGCGTCTACTTGTAATGCAAGAGATTCGGCGCTTTTCGTCTATCAAATATACACTTATATAAATTTCGCAAATGCATAAACAAACCAACCAATTCAAATAGCGTACTCACTGTCTTCCTACGACCCATGTCCAATGGATATTGTGCTATATGTATTTCAGGGAAAGCACCACCATTGCCAAATTCTTCCGAATTTCTTGGTTTCCAACCAGCTCTCTGTCCATATGGAGGTGGCTGTTTCCTTTGTTTTATAGATACTAGCTCATCGTACTTTTGTTCATACTTGTTTTGCTGTTCCGAGCTTAAAAGCTGATGTCGTGGTTTTGGTAGGACACTAAGGTATAATAAAAACTTGATTTAAACACCGATTTGATCTGTGAAAAATTCAAAAACACTAAGAAAGTTGATTTACTTTGAAAGATTAGACATTGGATTTACGAGCTTTATAACTTTATTAGAGATTAATGTGAAATAATTCAAATATTTTTAAAGCAAGCAACGATCTAAGTTTTGGTAATTATGTTATTGATGATGATGCAAGGTCACGACTTGTTCCATGCAGGATGATCATCCAAAAATTTTGTTTATCTTTCTGTAAGAAAATATTTCTCACGCTCCTGAGAATTTTTCCTATCACTTTGTTCAATTATAAATATCGTGTCAAAAAATTTTCTTCGTAGCTAAAATTATTGCAAAATGACTCAAGTTAACAAAAAGAAATCTCCTTCCACCCGACGTCATGCTTCACTTTGATACAGACATTTCAGAAGTGAAAAAGTTTCTTAAGGTAAGACAGGTAGATTTAAGAATGGTCATAGACTGGGAGCTACGATTATATGGAACGTGCGCTAGCTTGTCCTGAGCTTGGAATATACAACACTGCAGCATACTAACACTTTTCCTATAAACTGTAGGTCCTTGTAACATAAGTTCCTCTTGCTTAGAACTGGCTCTATTGTCCTGTATTATGAAACATCATTAGGTAACCTTTTAGTGAACTGATACTTGCTGACCAAAGATGCCCAACTTCGAAATTCTAAAGTGTACCTTTTTTCTTTGTTTAGAACTCAGATCCTTTTCAAGATATCTGTATTCATGAAGAAAATTTGAAATTACATCAAGAGAATTTGGACTTAAGAGAATAACTTTCTAATTCACTTTCTCAAATTACTGAATTTTCTACAAAATGTGATCATTTGGAAACAGTTTAACCATCTTAAAGAAGCATATCGTCAACGTAAGGAAGAATTACATTTGCTTCAAGAAAATGTTCATCAAGAAGATCAAAATAAAATACAAAGGTTAAGCCGATTAATTGAGCAAATTCATAGTAATTACTAACTAATTCTGACATAGAGTAGTTAAATTAGAATATTTTCCTTTTTTTCTTTCTTTATTAATGTATCTTAATATTCACGTCTTTGATTTAATGCCTTTTTATAAGTTATAATTCATATTGTTGACATTTTGCTACAATTCATATTGTTTATATTTCTATTTTTGCTTTATATTTTAAATTCTATAAAACTGATTTTAATATTTGTTGTAATTTTTTAGTTTAATTATACTAGTACTCAAATTAGTTACTTATGCATCATAGTAAAAGATTTAATTTCTTACAAAAAGTTTTCTTTATATTTTATCATATTTTATCATATGTTATCATTTTATATAATCAAAATTTTATTTTCTTAAATAAAGTTTTTATTTATCATAAATGATCAAAATGATTTATAGATGATTAAAAGGATTTATGTTATTAGATAATCAAAGATTTTCATCAGAAGTGATCAAAAGGAGTTTACATTATTAGATGATTTATATTTATGAATCTAACTTTCAGGTAATATTACTTGTATAAATTCTATATTTTATATAGGCTTAATAATAATCCTTATTTTTTGTTATATGATCAGTAATAACCTATGCTTTTATCTAAGTAGATTTAATAATAATTCTCATTTTTACTATCAATTTAATGATAACTAATGCTTTTTCTATTAGTTTAACAATAATCAAATAGTTTTATTATTAATTTATCATTAATCAAAGTATGCATTCTTCAAAATTCAAAATCTAAAAATTGATATTTTTTTATTTCTTTTAAATCTATTGATAGTATTCTGTTAATATGAAAGTATGATTAATTTTCATTTTTATCTATCTAGTGAAATCAATAGTAAGTTTTAAAAAGAATTTTCATTATTATTTTTCATATTAGCTTTTTCTGTAATTCATATTTCTTTTATTTTTGATTTTGTTTTTATATTTTCTCTTTACTATTTTCTATTTCTACATTCTGTATTTTTATCAATTTTTATTTTGTTTTACTATTTTTCTTTATATTCTTTTTTTTACATTTATTTTATTATCTCTTTATATTAATTTCAATTTTTTTTAATATTTTTCCTATTAAATTTCTATTTTTTTGTAATTTTATTATTTTTATATTCATTATGTTTCTATTTTATTAATTTTCATTTTTTATCCCTCGCATCACTTTGTTTTTATTATTCTATTCATATAATTTATATTTATAACTTCATATTATATCTATTAATATTTTAATTTTACATAAACTTTCTATTATTTTCTTATTTGTATTCTCTTATATTCTTTTTTTAATGATTATAATAGTACTAAAATCATAAAATTCTAATTACTTATCATTAAACTATCATATCTTAAAATTTTATTTTTATTCTATTTAGATTTATTATTATTAATACAAATGAACTTAACACTTTCTTAATAAATACTGAGATTTATTTTAAGATCACATTATTAAAGTCATAGAAATTTGTATTTTATTAAAGAAATCTAAAACTTTCAAGGTCTTTAATATTTTTCAAACTCTATATTAATTAAAAATTCTTATAATATTTAAATATATCTAATTAAGATACGATATTACAATATCTTTTTATAAGATTGGTCACAATTATTTATTAAATTTATTATTATTTTTAATTATCTGTCCTTTATTTTCATACAAATCTGCTCTTCATTTTAATTTTTTGACCTTTTTATATCAGATACTAATCCTTTTCTTGATATTATTTTTAGTAAAGTTAAAATTTATAAAAAGGAATACAAACTCCGGTAAAACTGGCAGAAACTGACAGATCAGTCGTATATAATATATCTGCTAAATATGTCATATCTACCAAAAAGGACATATATAATATTTATTATATTTCTATTACTATTATCATTTATATCATATTTTACATAATTAGCATATCTGTTAGCTCTGTTATTATTGTCAGTAGTATCATATCTATCATAGATTTTCTTTAATTGTAA